AGCGTGTGTGCGAGCGTGTGTGTGAGCGAGTGTGTGAGCGAGTGAGAGTGAGTGAGCGAGTGAGCGTGTGTGCGTGTGTGCGTGTGTGCGAGTGTGCGAGTGTGTGAGTGAGTGAGTGAGTGAGCGAGTGAGTGTGTGTGTGAGTGAGTGTGTGAGTGTGTGAGTGAGTGTGAGAGTGAGTGTGAGAGTGAGTGAGCGTGTGTGCGAGCGTGTGTGTGAGCGAGTGTGTGAGCGAGTGTGTGAGCGAGTGTGTGAGCGAGTGTGTGAGCGAGTGTGTGAGCGAGTGTGTGAGCGAGTGTGTGAGCGAGTGTGTGAGCGAGTGTGTGAGCGAGTGTGTGAGCGAGTGTGTGAGCGAGTGTGTGAGCGAGTGTGTGAGCGAGTGTGTGAGCGAGTGAGAGTGAGTGAGTGAGTGAGTGAGCGAGTGAGTGTGTGTGTGAGTGAGTGTGTGAGTGTGAATTGAGCACTATATATATCTGTGTATGTTTGTGGTTTCACCATGACATTAAAGATTAAACTTCAGTCTGGTAACACGTGTGTGTGTGTGTGTGTGTGTGTGTGTGTGTTGCGCAGGTGCGGGCGATCAGAACCTGTTCACAGCCCTGTACGGATCACTGACCCAGCAGCTGCCCAGAGAGCCCATGGAGTGGAGGAGGTGATATTATACTAGGGGTGCAGCGATTAACCGGTTTCGCGATTAACTGCACTTTAAAACGTCACGGTTAATTAATCGTAAAGGTTCCGCTAAACTCCCCTGTGGGACAAATAAAGTCAATATTAGTCGTATATTAATAATAGGCTACTTCATTAACTTCGTTATTTACTATCCCTGGTGTAGTATTATTCAGAAGTAAAAACCAACAATATTTGTTTTCACAATGTTTCCAAAGTCTCTACCCCAGGTCCAAAAGAAATGCAAAGAAGGTACGAACTGCAAACATTAAATACTTTTGCGATCTATTTCCATTTGTTATTTTCAAAAGAGAAATACTGTCATGGATGTTTACCTTTTTTTAATCCCAATGGGAGAGATGGACTTTTGTTTGTCTTTATTATTATTATTTTGTGCTGTATTATTGGTTACCGTGTTATTTCTGTTTCAAAAGCCAGCAATAAATAACACTTTAATATCTAAAGAGTGTTCATGTGATTTTATACATTAGTAATGTTGGGAAATGAATAAATGCATAATAATCGTCATAATCGTAAAATCGTGATTATTCCTACAATAATCGTACCAACAAAATCTATAATCGTTGCATCCCTATATTATACAGTAGAGTATTAAAGTATTATACAGATGTTATTATACAGTACAGTCACAATGAAGCAGAAGTAGCGTCAGATCTTTACATGCATATTGTGATGTTCATCTGAGTGTAACAGATTATCAGTGAGATTAAATGCAGGGCGGGACTTGGTTGGACTTGATATGATGTTGAGATGTGGGCGTGGCTCGGTGTGAGCTTGAGGGGCGGGGTTTAATAGCACTAAATCCTGATTAAACATTAAGAGCTCAAAACATTAAAAAATTAAGCTTATGCAAAGATGAATCATTCACAGTAGGATCTATAAGATGTTTTTAGATAATAGATTACACAAGAAAGTCTTAATTATGATTTCAGGTCTTAAATTTGGGTACGGAAAGCTTAATGTGACGATTAAACTTCAAAAGACTATGATTTCATTAAATAAACACGAGCGGCTGCTTTCTGTACAGCCATTACCGGAGAAACCGTTCTATTTCTGCTGTTCTGAAAGCGCCACCTGCTGGCAGAGAATGAATCTGCTGTTTTTGTTCAGACCAATGCGAAAATCCACCCATGTTTTAACACGCAGAGCTATAAATGTGAACTGGTGGATCGATAAGAAGATAATGCATTATAAAAACCTGTTATTTAATTTATATAATAATTGTTTAAAGAGTTTGTCCAGCTCAGCGTTTCATAACAGTGTTTGTATGTTTGATAAGAGCGGGTTTCAAAGAGGTCAGAGCAGAAGAAGGTCATTAGGAAAGGGATCAAATCTTCATCTCGTGTCATTAATCAGATGTTTCTCGTCTCAGGTCTTACGGACGAGCACCGAAGATGATCTATCTGGAGGCTAATTTTGTCCAGTTTAAGGAGGAACTGCTTCCTAAAGAAGGGAATAAAGCTCTGCTGACGTTCCCCTTCCTGCACGTCTACTGGACTGACTGCTGCGTGAGTCTCGCGTTAGACATCATAGCTGTGTCCATAATGACATTTAGTTTTAGCAGTCCCGTTCCTAAAAGAAGCAAGAAGCGTCCATCATTCAAAACACTTTTCCTGTTAATTAAGAGCATCATCTGAGTAGTGCATAAGTAACATTTTTCACACCGGGTCAGAATTGCATTATTGGAGAGAAAAAACAGTCGCATTAAAAAAAATTGCATTGGTGTACAAGACATATTTTATCATTACAATTCAGAAATAATTTAAATACCGATAAATGAAAGGGTTGCACACATTATAAAGCTCTGTAAATGTGTTTAATTCCTCTCACTCTCGAAAACAGAGAGTACAGCAATGAAAAATAGAGTAGAAATTGCAAACAGTGTGAAACAAACGTAAATAATAGTGTCATTTATTATGTGCAACATTTATCATAAATGCCAAGCCAAAAATAATTAATTTATTGTCTGAGCTTATTTGCTCAAACATCTAATTCCTGTTTATTTGTCATGCTGTAAATAGAATTTGATAAGTTGAGTGCATTGCATTGTGGGAGACAGATTCTGTGCAGTGCGATCTGTTGCACATTTGGCAAATATAGGACATTGTCTTGTATCGTGGGTGTTCAATACATACAGAAGATTCACATTCTACACACTGCTGTCTTAAAAACAGTAGTTAGTATGGCATTCAGAGATGTGTGTTTGTGTGTGTGTGTTTCTGTTTGTGTGAGTGTGAGAGAGTGTGTTTTTGTGTGTGTGTGAGAGAGTGTTTTTATGTGTGTGTGTGTGTGTGAGAGTGAGAGAGAGAGTGTGTTTTTTATGTGTGTGTGTGTGTGTGAGATATTATTTTTCATCCCCAATGGGACTTGGGGTACCAAACATGATATACCTGCATGGTATAATGTACATGTATCTAACTGCATCTGTAGTATTTATGTCCCTGTAAATAATTTATTTTAAGTGGATTTAAATAAATGGTTAAATGTGTGTGTGTCAGGACTCGGAGGTGTACAAGGCATCGGTGAAGGAGGACATGCAGCGCTGGCAGGCTGCTCTGCGTCTGCACGGTTCGGTGGATTGGCTCATCGCGGTGGTGGAGAGCGACAACAAGAAGAAGAACAAGACCAACCTCCTGCCACGCACCTCCATCGTCGACAAGATCCGCAGCGACTTCTGCAACAAGCAGAGCGACAGGTGAGCTCCTGATCCCAGCATGCTCTGCTCCCCGACGCAGCAGCTGCTGCTGACGATTACTTACACACTCAGTGTCTGAATGAACACACATGCAGCAGTCAGTCACAGCTGAGGCACAGAATCACCAATTCATCAGCGGTTATTATCAGTGTTTTGAGATTATCGATAACTACGCCTGATCAACTGAACTCACTGCTGGGTAATTTCATGCTGTTTAGTTAGTCATAAGTATAATTGTTTACATTTATTTTATGTTTTTTTATACTTGGATTTAAAAAAAATGTTATATAAATACAATTATAAAAAATCAAATGTGACCCTGAAGCACAAAACCAGTCATAAGGGTCAATTTTGTGAAATTGAGATTTATACATCATCTGAAAGCTGAATAAATAATCTTTCCATTGATGTGTGGTTTGTATATATGTAGTGTTGGCTATTGCTACAAATATCCCCCAGCGACTTAACACTGCTTTTGTGCTCCAGGGTCACATATGGTATTGTATTTAATGTGATGTAAGTGTGTAATGCAGACCGTGTAAGCCAGTGTCTGCTGTGTGTCTGCAGGTGTGTGTCTCTGTGCGATCCGCTAAAGGAGTCGTCGCGCTCGCAGGAGTCCTGGAGCTCGTTCCTCACGAAGCTCCGCACGCTGCTGCTCATGTCCTTCACCAGGAATCTGGGCCGCTTCGAGGACGAGATGAGGACGCTGCGAGAGAAACGCACCGAGCCCGGCTGGAGCTTCTGCGACTACTTCATGGTGCAGGTGTGCGATTTGCTGAGGGTGGTGTTACTTTCGTTAACGAAAACTGTGATGAAAAATGTTCGTTGACGAGCTTCAGTGCTTCATTGAAAACAGTGACTGGTTTCTGAATAAATGCACTTACTCAACCGCTGTTGTTTTAATAGAGAAACAGGCTATTGCAGTTTGGAATTACACCGTTATAATAATCTTTTTTTTTTTATAATGTAGACAGAGAGATTGCATAAGTCTTTGGTATTCATTTATATAATAAAAAGCCTATAATAAATCAGTACACTAGATGAGGGACCACGAGTTCTGTTGATTTGTGTTTACTGGAGAAAGTGCAATACCTGAAATGCAAAATACATTTCTCAAATGACAACAATCATTACGATTATAATTTTGAGCTAAATACATTTTTATCAGTTTAACCATAATACAGCACGACGAAAATGTGACTAAGATTTAATCGACTAAAACGCTCAGACATTTCGTTGAGTTAAACTTGACTGAACAAAAACAGGACAAGGCTGCCTAAATATGATAACATTCGAGTAAGACTAAGACTAAATAAAAAATGGCTGCAAAAAATAATACTGCTGTACGGATAATTAATAATAATCTTATTGCTAAAATGTCTAGTTTTCATTGACTAAAACTAGACTAAAATGTTGAGATTTTAGTCGACTGAAACTAAATAGGAACTAAATATGATAAAAACTAACAAGGACATTTAACACGGGACTAAGACTAAAAATAGCTGATAAAGTTAACTCTAGCTGAAGGAGCTGTCAATCACAGCATGCAGAAATCATATCTGTGACCCTGGAGCACTAAACCAGTCATAAGGGTCAATTCTTCGAAATTGAGATTTATGCATCATCTGAAAGCTGAATAAATAATCTTTCCATTGATGTATGGTTTGTTAGGATCGGACAATATTTGAAAATCTGGAATCTGAGGGTGCAAAAAAATCTAAATATTGAGAAAATCATCTTTAAAGTTGTTCAAATGAAGTTCTTAGCAATGCATATTACTAATCAAACATTAAGTTTTGATATATTTACGGTAGGAAATTTACAAAATATCTTCATTGTGTGTGTGTGTGTGTGTGTGTGTGTGTGTGTGTGTTGATCAGGAGGAGCTGGCGTTTGTGTTCGAGATGCTGCAGCAGTTTGAAGACGCTCTGGTCCAGTATGATGAACTAGACGCTCTTTTCACGCAGTATGTGCTCAACTTTGGCGCTGGAGGTAAACCGTCATCTGTGCATTAATGTCCTGTGCTACACAGCTTCACTTAATATATAAAAAAAGATATATTTTATATTCATATATACAAATTACATCAGTAGAAAGATTCTTAAATCACAATGTGTTTTTTATTTTAATGTTTTTTTATATTTTATTGTATTTTATAACGTATGTTCATTAAAAATTTAATATAAGTAAAATGACAAAATATAATAAATACATTTTTTAATAAACACGGTATACTGTATTATCACGATATTGAAATTTAGTTACATAAAAGTGTTGTCATAATACAGCGTAGCAGGTTTAATAACTTTTTTCCTTCTAACAAAAATAACTGAACATTTAAATACAATAAAGCAATACACCAAATTTGATTCAACTATATTAAATAATATTTTTGACTTGACTAATTCGAGTCAAATTATATTTTATAATTTTGTATGTTACCATTTTTATCAGTGTACGATATTAAATCAGCATATTAGAATGATTTCTGAAGGATAATTTGACACTGAAGACTGGAGTAATGATGCTGAAAATGAAAAAAAAACTAATTCTGAATGAATAGCATAAAACAGCTATTTTAAACTGTAGTAATATTTTGCACTATTATGTATATGTTTGATTATTATTTGTAATATTATTTTGATATTCATATCAAAATAGCATATAAATGATACTAAAACACCATTCCATGAAACATATAATAAGTAATAACTTTACAGACCACAAACATTTGAATTGTATTGCATGGACATGTGTTTGTTTGTTTGTTCATTCGTTCATTTGTTCGTTCATTCATTCAATTGGTAACAGGAAGAAGAAGACAAGAAAATCAAAACAAAAAAAAACTGTGGAATGTGGAAACTGTGGAAAGACTGTGAGAATTGGTGAATTGTGTCTTGTTTGTCTTCATCAAAATAAATAGCACTGTATACCAGTGGCGAGCGGTGTCTTTTTTAACCGGGTATGCTGAGTCCCCCCCCCCCCCCCATCAGCTTTTAGGACACTCAGAAGGGATCACAGAGGGTGGGGAGATTCCCCCGCTCCATACGTCTCTCTGCATCAGCTAAATGAGTTTTTTATTCCCAGTGAAAACAGTTAAAACTCCCATCGGGTGACATTACTCCAATAACAGACCATGCAAAATACCCCAAAATATTTAAAATATTGCAAAGCAACGTTGCAACCTTGCAAACAATAATAAAATCAGAGAAGGACTTTAACTGTGAGCGACACGAGCATACGCAAAACAAATGGAACAATATGTTTGTTATTATTAAAATTTTGTATAGCCCATATTTTATACAAAAAAATGTAATTTACCGCTTAGGCAATAACGTTGACAATAACGTATATCTTCAACATGCGTTGTCTATAACCAAAAATGTAATAGGTTCAGTGGACTTTTAAAATTTGCTTTGCTTGAGAAAATAAAAATATACATTTAGTGTTTTTTACTTTTGATTTAGTCGAGTTGGTTTTGCATCAAGCACAATGTGATTCTCGGCAATCGAGATCTGACAGAAACCGCACATTTTTCCTCTTGAGTGAGCGCTTTGCGAACAGTTTACCTCGTGCATTAAATCAACCGCAGACCAGCAAATCACTGAGAACGCGCTATAATCCTGACGAGTCATAGCAACAGAGCGGAGGCGAGAAAGCTGCGGAGAATCCGCTCGCCCGGAAGCAACCGCAAGAAAATTTAAACAAAATGACTGCCTTTGGTAATAAATCATTGTACGTACTCATTCCTAACTCTTTAAGCTTTAAGGTACATTTCAAATGACAAGGGATCCACTTATAATCATGTTTAAATGAAATATCCCGTGAGCTTATTCTCTAAAATGGCCTGGGTATGCGGAGCATTCGCAGCTTATATGGACGGAACGCCACTGATCTATGTATATATTAGAGGTCGACCGATGTATCGGTTTTGCCGATTAATCGGCACCGATAGTTGATTGCTGGAACTATCGGTTATCGACAAAAATCCATGCCGATTGTTTTCCGGGTTGCGTCCGTTGCTGGAGCGGCTGAGAAGGCTCTGCTGTCATTACACAGCGCGAGAGCGGCCTCTAGTGGTTGAAATCACTGACAGCACATGCTGTTTGTTTAGACACGTGATACTGCACGCTGAACAGAGCGGGGAACTTCAGACGCGGATTTAAATGCAGCTGACAGAAAATCCTGCCGCACCATTCACATAGTTTTCCGTTAAATTACATTATATTGGTCCTGAATCATTGTTGATGTACATAATGAATTGTATATTGTGCATTTTCAGCGAAACGTTTGTCTTTCTGTGGCTCTAATGCATCACTGTATAAAGGTCTGCTTTTATTTGTGTACACTCACAATGAAAACAAAACATTGTGCTTTTGTAAAATAAAGAAAACAGATAGGATGTCGCTTTCTGCCATTTGAGTTTCCTTTCTTTGAACTAATTTAGCGTGTCACAAAAATGAACTGAAACTCAGCGTATATAGCCTAGGCTACATTACTTAGCACTGTTTTCCCCCTTGTTTATCTGTTAACTAAATCAAATATATTTCAAGTATTAATTCCTTGTATGTGTGTATATATATATATATGTATGTATATGTACTGCAGCTTTTATATAATTTAATATAATATTTAGCCCTTTCATCTCTTTCACAATTTGTTCTACTGTCTGTTCAAAATAAATGAAAAGAAACCTAGCATAGTAGATTTGTTGTTTTTTCCTGTTGTACCGAAATCGTATCGAACCGTGACATCTGAGTATCGTTAAAACTCGTAATATATCATCAATATATAATTTTTTTTTTTTTACAAATAACTAACATTTTAAAAATATGTTTATGGGACTTTCGCATTTTATGGATGTTGTCGATCAGGATTTAATTGGATTATGTTAATGTGTGATATTGTTTCTCAGTGTTATTTTTCCACTGCCCACACAGCCTCGATTTCATTGGCAGAAAGATTATTAAAATAAAATAAATATCATTAATAAATGTTTATCATTTATTTATTATATTTCATAAAATATATTTAAAAATATTAAATGTGAGTACAATTATAAAAATATAATTATTTAAATGATAAAAATTAAATAATTAAAAAATATATAGTTACAAAAGTTTTTTATCAAAAATGATCAAAATATGTTTAAAGGAATTTTGTATTTTATAAATGTTGTCCATCACAATTTAATTGGATTATGTTAAGCCATGATATTGCTTAGTACAGAAAGATTATTAAAATTAAGTGAACAATATATTTTTGTTTTGTATACTTTCTTATATTTTTTATACAATATTTATATTTATTAAAAATATATTTTTTTAATTTAAGTAAAACTCTATTCATATAATAAACTATTAAAAATAAAAATATAATAAATACTTTAAAATAAATGAGTAAAATATAGTTCAATGCATTATTTAAAATATACCTAAAATTATAAAAATATGCTAAAAAAAATGAAATGTTGCTTTTTAATAGGAAATCATTTGAATAACGTGTACCCATGAAATGCTCACAGTAGAGAAATTAAGAAAGTAAATGGAGATCATTTATTCAGATAATGTATCTGAGCAGGTTTGACTCTGGTTGTGTGTGTTTTGCTGGTGTTCAGACGGCGCTAACTGGCTGGGCTCGTTCTGTCAGCCGGTGCGCAGCTGGAACGGGCTGCTGCTGCGGCGGCCCATCGACATGGAGAAGCGTGACCTGATCCAGAGAGGAGAGGCCAGTCTGCTGGACCTGCGCAGCTACCTGTTCTCCCGCCAGTGTACGCTGCTCATCTTCCTGCAGAGACCCTGGGAGGTGACGGCCCGCGCGCTCGAGCTGCTGCACAACTGCGTGCAAGAGCTGCGGCTGCTGGAGGTGTGTGTGTGTGTTTTACCGCCGTTTACACGGTGCTAGCTGTGGGGCGTTTCAGGTGTTTTTGGGGTGTGTTTCAGATGTGTTTGGGCAGTGTTACAGCTGTTTTTGGGGTGGGTTTCAGATGTGTTTGGGCAGTGTTACAGCTGTTTTTGGGGTGGGTTTCAGATGTGTTTGGGCAGTGTTTCAGGTGTTTTTGGGGTGGGTTTCAGATGTGTTTGGGCAGTGTTACAGCTGTTTTTGGGGTGTGTTTCAGATTTGTTTGGGCAGTGTTACAGCTGTTTTTGGGGCGTGTTTCAGATTTGTTTGGGCAGTGTTTCAGCTGTTTTGGGGGCCTGTTTCAGATGTGTTTGGGCAGTGTTTCAGAAGTTTGGGGTGTGTTTCAGGTGTTTTGTGACATGTTTTAGACATTCGAAGCCTGATTCACATATTTTGGGGCATATTTCAGGTGTTTTGGGGTGTGTTTCAGATATGTTTGGGCAGAGTTTCAGCCATTTTTGGGGCGTGTTTCAGACATTTGGGCGTCTTTTGGGGCGTGTTTCAGACATTTGGGCGTCTTTTGGGGCGTGTTTCAGACATTTGGGCGTGTTTTGGGGCGTTTCAGACATTTGGGCGTGTTTTGGGGCGTTTCAGACATTTGGGCATGTTTTGGGATGTGCTTCAGATATTTGGGGCGTGTTTCAGACGTTTGGGGCGTGTTTCAGACGTTTGGGGCCTGCCCTGTGTTTGTGGCGTGTTTCAGGTGTGTTTCAGACATCTCTGGCGCATATTTCAGCCATGTTTGGGGCGTTTTTGGGCCGTGTTTCAGACGTGTTTGGGGCATATTTCAGGTCTGTTTCAGACATGTTTGGGGCGTGTTTCAGGAGTGTTTCAGATATGTTTGGGGCATATTTGAGACATGTCTGGGTCGTGTTTGAGGTGTATTTGGGGCTTTTCAGACGTGTTTGGGGTGTGTTTCAGGCGACTCTGATGCGTGTGTGTGCTGCAGGTGTCTGTGGTGAGCGGCGCTCTGGACTGCTGGGTGTTTCTCAGCTGTCTGGAGGTCCTGCACCGGATAGAGGGCTGCTGCGACCGCAGCCAACTGGAGGCCAACACCTCCCACACCGTGGGCCTGTGGACCTACGCCACGGAGAAGGTACTGATCACACATGGCTAACGCACTCGAAGGCATGTGACAGTGGCCCTTTTGGGCTTATTTCTTCATTCATGTGTGATTTTATTGGCAGCTGAGGTGTCTGGGTGATCTGTGTGGTCTGGTGTCCGAGAACGGCCCGAACTCTGAGGACCTGAACAAAACCGTCGACCTGCTGGCTGGTCTGGGAGCAGAGAGACCCGAAACGGGTAATTATGATGAAATAACGCATAATTTTCCATTATCCTTATTGTATGAGGTGTTTGATACTACTCAAATTTATCAACTGTTATATACATACACACATATATGTATAATATAAATATATTTGAACACACACAAGAAGTCTCTTCTGCTCGTCAAGGCTGCATTTATATGATCAAAAATACAGTAAAATTGTGAAATATTATTATAATGTAAAACAGCTGTTTTCTATGTGAATCTCTGTTAAACTGTAATGTATTTCTGTGATGTGCAGCTGTATTTTCAGCATCATTCCTCCAGTCTTCAGCGTCACATGATCTTAAGAAATAATTTCATAATCATATTTTTGTGGAAACTGTGATGCACAACATATTCATCAAGGCTGCATTAAATTGATCAAAAGTGACAGTAAAGACATGTTTCTATAATGTCACAAAAGATTTCTATTTCAAATAAATGCTGTTCTTTTGAACTTTCTGTTCATCTGTGAATCCTGGAAAATAAAATGTATGACGGTTTCCACAAAAATATTGTGCAGCACGACTGTTTTCAACATTGATAATAATCAGAAATGTTTCTCGAGCAGCAGATCAGCATATTATACTGATTTCTGAAGATCATGTGACACTGAAGACTGGAGGAATGATGCTGAAAATACAGCTGCGCATCACAGAAATACATTACAGTTTAACACATATTCACATAGAAAACAGCTGTTTTACGTTGTAAAAATATTTCACTGTTTTTAAAGTATTTTTGGACAAATAAATGCAGCCTTGATGAGCAGAAGAGACTTTCGAGAACATTAAAACTCATAACTATTCCAAGCATTTGACTGGTAGTGTGTATATAAATAAGACTCATCACTAATGAGGAGATTGATGAGCAGCTCACAGATGTGTGTTGATTGTGTTTCAGTGGTTAAAGCGTGTCTGTAATGTGTCTGTAATCTCCGTGTCTCAGTGAACAGTCCTCAGAGTCCGTATAAGAAGCTGAAGGAGGCGTTGTCGTCTGTGGAGGCCTTCGAGAAACACTATCTGGTGAGCGTTCGGTTTCTGTGGTCTGTGAGTGTTTATTTTAGTGCTGTGATTACTGGGTTTATTTTTGCTCGTGGTTTGTGCGTCTGATCAGGAGCTGTCTCACGCCGCTATGGAGATGTATAAGGCGATCGGGCGGCTGCGTTCAGCTCGGCTGGTGGGGAAGAGTCTGGCCGAGTTCTACATGTGAGCACGATTTAACATCACAGAAACACGTGTGACTCAGAGTGTATTAGTGTCGATTAAATGTGACCCTGGAGCACAAAACCAGTCATAAGGGTCAATTTTTGGAAATTGAAATTTATGCATCATCATCAAGATTTCCATTGATGTGTGGTTTGTTAGGCAATATTTGGCTGAGATACAACTATTTGAAAATCTGGAATCTGAGGGTGCAAAAAAATCTAAATATTGAGAAAATCATCTTTAAAGTTGTTCAAATGAAGTTCTTAGCAATGCATATTACTAATCAAACATTAAGTTTTGATATATTTACGGTAGGAAGTTTACAAAATATCTTCATGGAACATGATCTTTACTTAATATCCTAATGATTTTTGGCATAAAAGAAAAATCTTTTCATACAATCATACAATGTATTGTTGGCTATTGCTACAAATATACCCCAGCAACTTAAGACTGTGTGCGTCTGTGTGTGTGTGCGTCTGTGTGTGTGTGCGTCTGTGTGTGTCCGTCTGTGTGCGCGTCTGTGTGTGTGTGTGCGTCCGTCTGTGTGCGTCTGTGTGTGTGCGCGTCTGTGTGTGTGTGCGCGTCTATGTGTGTGTGTGCGTCTGTGTGTGTGCGTCCGTGTGCGTCCGTGTGTGTGCGTCTGTGTACGTCTGTGTGTGTGTACGTCTGTGTGTGTGTGTGCGTCTGTGTG